ACTTCAAAATATATACTTTACCTGGCTGATCTACTGAAGGCTGAGCCTGAGCCTGATAATGTACCGATAAAGAACTAGAAGGAAGTCCAGAAGGAAGGAAGAACAGCCCATCCACAATCCCATCAATTGTAGCTTGCAAGTTTGGATTCACATTGGGACGAAGTTGAGAGAAGAATTCCACTGCACCGATGCCAATCAGTTTCTGGGCAGCAGGTGGATGCTACGTTAAGACAAATAACTGACAAAGTTAGTCTGAGGAGTCTATAGGTCTCTTAACCTTGAAGGATGGGGAGGAAAGAAACATAATCAAAACTTTAGTTAGATTTTGCCTTTTTTTGGACCATGCCTCAGGATTTTATTTTCCTCTGCGAAACTGCTGTTTTGTTGTCAAAATATAAGAAAGTATTATGAGATTTTTTGAAATTTCTGTGGCGTTTTCTCAACTTTTTTAAAATAAGTTGCACTATTGTTCAAATCTTCACTTTTCAGGAACAGTGCCAGCGCTTAGCTGCAAATCACGTCCCAAAGAAGAAATTAAACACTAAATGAGAAACTGAAGAAGCAACAGATCTAAAATAGAAATCCAGAAAAGAATTAATTTTTTCTGCTATCCCTATGACCAACTGCAAGCCACTCAAATCGTTTTCATTTCTCTCTACATACAGTGGCTTTATTATTCACATCTTTGTAAAGTACTCTAAAATCTCGTTACATGGAGCTACAAAAACAAATAACATCCAATTTTAATTAGCTTTAGCATTCTAAAGACATATAGGTCATATATAAATAAACATCAGTATGTCATACCTTAATCAAATTGTTCACAAAATTCAGTACTTCCTCTTTCATTGGTACAACTGGAAAATTGAACCACTCCAAAAGGTTAAGGAAAAGCACTTTTTCATGGACCAGATCAGCATATGAAATCAAGTTATGATCTAATTTAAACAGAATAGTCTTCAGAGATCGTTCTCTTATCTCTGCCAGTTCATGACCTGCCCAAAAAAAAAGGAATTAAAAACCCCATAAAGTCAATGACATAACGCAATTCCTATTTGGATGACCATAATGCTGTCAAAGACCTGTGAAAAAAGCTGGCTTTTATGCTGTCAGTATTATGCTTAGCAGGACGACAGATATGAGTGCACTCACCAGCAGTGAGCCAATCAAGTACGACCGTATAGTCTAAAAGTGTGAAACGTTACAAAATACACTGTTATAACCTGGCGCCAGATGTCAGACATGGAGATGGCCTTTTTTTTGAGGTGTACAACCAAACTCTGAAAACACTGTGGATACAGAAAGCTGCCTGGGACTCACAAGCCGGACAAGAAACCACCCCAGTTGATGGGCTCGGAAGGCACCGTTCCTGGGGGAAAGCCGCCGGCAGCTCCTAGGGAAGGACCACCCCGTGCCCTGTCCCCTCCACGCCTGCAGCAGGGCTGGGGGGAGTGGGGCAGCAGAGGGCAGAAACCTCCCGGGGGGGGGCGAGGGGGGCGGCCGTGTGGAAGCGGAGGCCGGGCAGGGGCAGCCGCGCTCCCCAGTGCCCAAGGAGAAAGGAGCCCCCCTCTCTCCTCCTTCCCTCCCACCCCCCCGGCAGCAGCCGGGCGCCCGCACCCAACCGACGGGCAGAAACCCCCCAGCGCCGCGGCGGGCGGGTGAGGGGGGGAGCAGGCCCCTCACCGCCCCCCGTCACGCGGCCGATCAGGGATCATGACACCCCTGGGCAGCCGAGACCTGCGCCCCGGGGAGGGAGGAGGCAGCCATTACCCAGCTTCCTGACGAGCGATGACAACTCCATCGCGCCCCTCGCCCCGCCAGCATTCAACCGCCCCGCCGGTTCCGCCGCCAGCCCGCCCCGCCTGGCCAATGGCGGCCGCGGGGCACCTCGGGAAACGTAGTCCGTCGCACTTCCTCCGTTGGCCTCCGTGTCCCCGACCGTCCTTAGCTCCGCGCGGAGCAGGCTGGGAGTTGCCCTCAGTCCCGCCGAACGCCGGCGGGAGCAGAAGCGACTACAACTCCCGTGCACCCCTGCGCAGAGCCCTCGCCCCGCTACGGGAGCCGGCGGGTGTGCTTAGCGGTGCGCGGTCCCCGGCGGGGCTGGGCGGCTGTGGGGGGACCGGATTTACCCGGCCGCGACCCCCGGAGCGGGGTTAGGCGATAAGGCGCCCGGTGGTCCCGTCTTGGGCCGTTGCCTTCCTCTTCCAGCACTGTGGCCCGAAGCGGTGTCCCCGACCGCGGGCAGAGGGGGAGGCCCGGGGCCTTCGCCTCCCGGGGGCCGTCACCTCAGCGGCGCGAAGGGCCGAGGGAGGGGGCACCCCCCGGGACGAGGCGCGGCCGGGACGGATCCTGGGGGATCCTGGGCGAAGGAGCGCCGGCTGAACCAGCCGGGTTTTGCTGGCAGACACACATATGGCGCGAAGGGCCGAGGGAGGGGGCACCCCCCGGGACGAGGCGCGGCCGGGACGGATCCTGGGGGATCCTGGGCGAAGGAGCGCCGGCTGAACCAGCCGGGTTTTGCTGGCAGACACACATATCTTCGGTATCTCTTTTTTTTTTTTTTCCTCTTTTTTTTTCCTCTTTTTGTTTTTGTCCTCAGGCTTCTCCGAACGACTCCGGGGCTGAGGGTTGGGGAGGGCTCAATGAACCGAATGAGTAACTGAGAAGTCGTTGTAAAATTTCAAAAGTTTAGAGCAACGCTTCTGAGATAGAAAAGGAGCGGTTATGCATTGCTTTGTCTTTCAGTAACCACGCCTGAGAGAATTAAAAAAATAAAAAAAATCAGTGGAAACAGACACGTGGTTTCATCCTTCAAAGTAATCGAAGAAGGTTTAGATGTATGCATGCAATTCTAACAGCTGGACGTTAATTACCCATGCCCTAGAAGCACAAACCCTTCCTGTTGGTATTATGTGCCATGCAGAAACCCAGCCATGCAGTGTGACAGGCTGCGTATTTCCAGCCTTGGGGCTCAGGATGCCATACCCGGGTGATGCAATGGTGGTCCTGAGGATTAGTCTACTGAAACCAAGCAGGCTGCCTGTCTAGCAGCATCCGGAATAGTCATCATGTCAATAGCCACTGCTGCTTCCAGCCCAGACAGGAGCTGTCACCTTGTTCTGTTTGTAGCTCGAATACGGGCTTTGCACGTACCTGTCGGATGATAACTTTTCGTATCTCCAAGTTCCCCTATCATTATTTAATGCATATTTGCAACATAAACTTCTGCAAAGATCATAGTTTTGTTGTTGTCTGAATCCAGACATGAAATTGAAAAGGAAAGGGTGTGTTTCTTCATCCTTTGGTACCTATGTGGCCCCGATTTGGAAGGCAGAGAATTATTTATGTTTGTAGTAATAACAGTATTTGCTAATGTTTCTTTGAGGTGTCTGATAGCACTCTGGAAATAGCTCTTGCTGACTTGTGTAAAGCAAATGGATGAGGGGGTGAAGTAGGAGGTGACTCATGAGGGGTTTAGGGCTTTTTTTTTTTAATTTAACCTAGACTCCAGAATTACATTGCTTTGTTTATAATGCAAGGCAGTTTCACAAAGCAGAATTTCTTAAAAGTGTAGTAAAGACACATCATAGGTTGTCTGATCAGAGGACTGATTTATTATTTTTTTTTGAATGGTTGTGCTTACCATCATAATCAGAAATAATAAATTGATGTTTGGTGGACAAGTGCTGGACGTTGTTATGTGTCTATGCTCATGAAGTGTTTTGCATGTAACTACAGGTGCACAAAGGAAGATGGCCTTGTAATGGTCACAATTTCTTTTTTATGTCATGCATTGCATATGAAAGTACCTTTTATCAGCATCAATAAAAATGTGAAAAGTGCAGTACAATGTATGCAAATGAACTCCAAAGGGATGCGTGTCACTGCCCTCTCAATATATATCCAATTGTTTTTCCATCCTGGTCTCCATCACTGTGCTTTTCTTTCACAGTAAATTCACATTAATGCCCTCCATCTGCTGTATCAAGGCTGTACTAAATTCTTAATCACAACTCAGAACTGTCTATCATTTTGTAAGACAATATTTCTATCTGCGGAGCAATAAAACAAAGAGGCTTTATTAAACTAATTATGAATGTACTATGATTCCTGCAGTGAGGTTTTTTTCCACAGGAGATTGAACTCACCTGGATCAGTGCTTTTCAAGAGCAATTACAAAAGAAGCATCACTGAGTAAAAATTCCTTTTGGCAGTGCACGTTATGCTCATGTAATAAAATATGGCGAGCGTTAATCAGATGCGCATGGGGCTGCTCACATTTCCCCAAATAGGATTGGTGGGAATTTTATGAGACCCAGGATGAGACTCAATGATAACAGTGGAATGGATTTGTATCTCATTTGTCCAGCAAGGAGAAGGGATTGCTGAAGTAGTTATTGCCCAGAATAGACTAAATGAAAACAGTTCTTCAGGAGGAAGAGATGCATCATTCAGATCTATAGGAGTGGTCGATCCAGGTCCTTCTTACCTTTTTTAATACGGTCAATACATATTGCATCAGAAAAACAAATGTTTTCTTGCACTGTCTTCAGTGTCTGAATTAGTGGCTACACAAACAGTTCATAGAGTTGACAAGTGCACTGCCCATTGCTAATATGCTCCTCTGCGCTGTAACCATGGACATTTCATTCAGATTTTCTTAACTGAAGGCCTAATTAACTTTAAAAAATATTTCCAACCTTGAAGAGCAGCTTCAGTTTTGCTGCTCTTGTTTTAGACCAGATAAGGGGTTGTGTGTACCCAGAACAGTGATCCAGGAGCACACTACATCAGCTGGTGCAATATATTTTATGCTATCATGGCACAAGACTGGTATTCAAGGTCATCACCAGTAAATCAAATCATTGTTACAAGTAGAGGAGTGATATGTTAGGGGTAAAGTGCGTATCTCAGGCAAAATGGAAGAAAAACAAAACAAAACAAAAAGCTCAAACCTTTTTATTGGGTATTAAAAATGAAAAAAAAAAAAGTGGTGGATGGGCTCAATAATCACTGCTGGCATTGTGAAACAATCTCAGTAGGAGAAGACTAGTCTCTCCTTACTGGGAGTGCTGATTCCCTCCGTGTCTCCTGTTTTGGACTCCCACGAGTGCCTCCTCTTTCCCTCCTGCCTGCTTGTTGCCGGTAGCCTGCAAATTCCCATACCTGTTTCTGAAACCAGTTTGACTTTTTCCTCCCCATTGGCATTATTTAACATGGATGTCTCTTCTACCATGTATATTCTTACTGATCTGCAGTCGAAGTGTGTAGGAGTTCCACCACTGGGGAAATTAGTCACTGAATCTCATTTACATTGTCCCTTGTTGCTTCCTTACTGCACTCCACATAAGATGAACTTTAAAGTGCTGCCTACTCCTGTCTCCTCACAAGCGTGGTTTCTCTAATTTCAATAACTTTTTAAAATCTCTTCTTTATCATTTGAGTTCTATCCCAACAAATTGATGATAGGTGGACAAGCAGTGGACATCGTGTGTCTGTGCTCATGAAGTTTTTGCATGTACTGCAGGTGCACAGAAGAAGATGGCCTTGTGATCTTCACAGTTTTATGAAGATTTTTTGATAAAAGCCATCTTTTAGCACTTTTAATACAGGATGCTTTGTGACTTTGAAAATTTCCTTCAGTTAAATGTCATAGAGAGACATGAGCTCATTCATTACAAGATGAAGCCTTATTATCTCTGCATTCTTTTTTCAAAGCTGTCTATTCACAACATTTTATTTTCCTTTCCTTACTGCTTTTGAGTTCTGTCCTCTAATGTTCCTAAAGTTCTCTGAAGTTCACCGTATCAAAGACTCTGCCTGACAGGATCTTGATTCCATTTTTGATAATCTCCTTACTGTAATTCTGAGCTTAACTGTTGCAACTTCTAATTCTCCGTGAATTTCCTGCTGTATGGCTCTTCACATAGATCAAAAAGCAGCAACCTTATGAAGAAACATCAGGCATGTCACATGCAAAAAGTATGAATGCCAGGTCCCTCTATGAAGGGAATGCCCAATAGGGACTGTGATGCCCAAACCTCACTGGCTGCTACAGTTAAAATGAACTTTACGCCCTGTCAGCTGAAAGAAGATTGTAAATAGGATGGAGAGAAAGCGAAGAGAATGAGAACATTGGGAATGGAAGGAGGCAGAAACGGGCAAGAGAGTTCAGATGAGGAATTCCCTAGCTGAGAAAATTCTCTCTCTATTAAACCATCTTCTCAATTTGCCTCTCAATTCATTTCAGAGTCCACTTAAAAGTATCCTTTCCTGCCCTGAAGGCCTTTCTTGCTTGCTGTTATCCCCAGCTTTCTCATCTTTCTCTGTTCATTAGCTGCTATTGATAAAATGTAGACTGGTATCTAAAATTAAATAAAAGAACCTGTTGGTTACCTATAGAGAGAGTCCATACTGGACCTACCACACACGCACAGTAAAGACAACCTGGGCATATGCAGTAGCTCTGTGTTTATTGCTTTAACTGACTACCAGATTCCTGAAATTAGTATTCAAAATCAGTAGGATGATAGCAGGCTTGTAAAGGTTTTCTGTAAACATCAGTGGAGCTGCATGTGTAAAACCCGTTTCCTTTGTGCAGCCAGGAACAGCATTTTATTCTTGCATTATCTTAAAGCTTGTGACAAGATCTCTAACAGGTACTTTGTAAATTCCTGAATTTTACTGCTTCCAAATGAGGTACATAATACCCAACCTAAGTACATGTTACAAATATTTGTGTTTGCAGCACTGCAGATGTAAATTTGGAAGTTCATTAATGGTATTATTAATTTATTGTTTATATTTTCTTCCCCAGTGAGACTTTCTAATTTCTCTGCCTTTTTTATTTTCCATTTAGCTGGATCTATCTTCTGTGCTAAATTGCATATGCAGATACGCAATTGACTTATAGAGTGGTGCAGAAAAAACACTTGCATCTAAATAATTGCTAGACAATTTAATTTCATACACATTATTGTATTTGGTGAGTCAGTCAATATCAATATAAATGCCTACCATGAAACTGCAAAACAAAAAGACTTTAAAAAAACTAAGTGAGAAAATCTTTCTTCTGTGATGTTTGTTTAAAACATATAAAAGCACATTTTTACACCACGGGTAATAAACTTGTGGAATTTCTTGGCACAGGAGGCTGCCGATGCAGGTAGTACCAGTAAAGCCCAGAAAAGATTAGGCAAAAAGGGAGAATGGGCCCACAGAAAAACACTGGAGGCACAGGCAGGGATGGATGTGCCCACTGACCTTCCAAAGCAGCGGTTGTGGTCTCTGGACAGGAGAGGGCAGATGGAGCTGGTAAAGCAGTTCTCCCAAGTAGTGTCTTGGGTCCTCACTTGGGGACAGCTAGATTCATCTCCCCCAGTAAGACGTTTCTTTACCTCTCTTCTTACTCTTATTCTCATCTGATGAATGAATTTAGATCCCATCAAAGGAAACCTACCAGGAACAGAAAGGGAACACAACTTCAGGGATGCAGACAAATAAGATGATTAACCTTTACAGCTCTGAAAAGAGCTCCGGCTTTTAGCATTTGTCACAGTCCAAACCCTTCAAAAGAGAGATATAGCCCACAGATTTTTAATGACCTTTTCACAGGTAGTAGGCATCTTCTTCCCTCAGAAATATAAATCCAAATTAAACTGAACACTGGCATAGGTTGATTTGTGGTTTGTTTTTTTTTTTTTCCCAAATGAAAAGGCTGGACTAAACTGCCATGAATTGCACCTGCATCCACTTCACAGAAAGAGCTGGCAGGGCAATGCCTGTGTGTAACAATGTGTGTAACTAGTTTGCTTTATTTGGGTGTACAGAGCATTACACGGGACTTCTGGCTCAGGATGCATAATTACCATGTACATATTCTGTTTTTCAAACAAATTCTAGTTATATTATTTAAAATTCATAAACAATTATTAATGATGTGGTGTTATTAGAACATCTAGCATTTTTTCTTGTATCAAGGCACTTCACTGCTTTTAGATTAATTTAGCACATGGTTTAGTGCGCTAACTTCATAAAGACAGTTTATTCTAAAGCGAGCTTCTGTTGTTTATTTCCTTTTTTATTTTATTATTAATATTTCATTAAAGTAATTTAGTTCCTTCTAAACTCATAAGTCTCTTTATCTCCCCTCCGCCTCTCCTTGGAGTGAGAGGTCGGGGAAGAGCTTCTGTCACCTGTAATTGGCCAACTCAGCCTAAACCACAACAGAAAGTTACTCTTTTCTTCTAGTACTAATGCTGTACAACATTGCAAAGGATAAAAACATTTAAGTAATCAGTTCTTGGACTTGGAATATATTGCCATTTTAGCCAACATTATGACATTTTGGGGTTTTTTTTCTGATGTAACTGTAATTAAATTTCCAAGTCTGGGTCAAAACAGGAAATAATTCTTCTTAAAATACTGATAGAGTCATCATTTTGTATCATATTAATTGGACTTGTAAAAACTTCATAAGACATTAATCGAACTCAATATAACTTTGAATATTATTACTGTTAATTAATAGCAATAGTATTTGCAATGTATGTAATACTCTTTATTTGTCTCTGAAAGTAGTTTTCCAAACTCATGTCATTACTCCTACGCATGTCAGTCGTATAGTCACATTCACAGATCTGGCCATTAATTAACCATTGCGCTTACTTCAGAGTTACAGAAGAAAAGCCAGTGTTGAGTGTTGAATGCTTTTCTCCAGTGTTACTCTTCCCTTAGAATTAATAAGTAACCAAAAATGGATGCCAAAGAAAGAGGAAATGAGATTCTGTTTCCATTCTGTTCTTTTCAAGAACCTACCAAGTTCCTCAAAATTATGGTTCTCATCACACAAACAAGAGGTTGCCTACTGTTCATACTCAGGGCTTGCATCCTCCAAACATTGTAGATTCACATCGGCAGAAAGGAGAAGAGGGAGAAAATTACTAAGGCAAGTATTGCATCCTGACTTGAGTAGGGCACAATTTCTGAAAAGAAAGAGAAGAGATACTCATACAGCAGTGATTTGACTTGTGCTTCAATTGGCATTGTATATTTTATGATTCTCAACTTTTCTAGCTGTTGGAGAAATGTTGAAAGTACAATAGTCATATGCTGAAATATTTGACAATGGAGTTAGATGCTCTATCTCATGTTCAAGTGGAAGAAATACAGTGGGTAAATTTTCTGTTGTCAAAATCCTCAAAATTATAAAAATATTTATATTTCTATCTTGAACACAATTTCAAAGTGGTATATGCCCAAATTCCAGAATTAGACTCAATTTTTCAGATAGATTGTCCCTAACACAGATCTGATTTCTTGGTTTCTCACATGACTTCCTAGACTTTGAAACTGAATCCTAGACTCCAGGTATCTTATGATACCATTCCTTGTTCTCTAAATATTACTGTTGCGTTTGGTACTGCATGCTTTTGTAAGTGCAGTAACTCATAGAGGCCCTAATACTGCATATTTCTCAGATGCTGTTTGTGAAGGCAGCAGAAAGTCACGTGGCTTGTCATTTCCCACAAATCTGACATCATGACATCTGCAAGAGCTGTAGTTGCCTGAATGTTCTTGGACAGTAGCGTGAACAATGTGAGACTCTTAATTTTTGGCAAGCTTTCAGAGCTTGTTAAGACTATTAAACAGTCTTAGAGTAATATGTAATGACTACAGATCCTAAAGATAAGGCATGTGTTTCTAAACTATTTTATATAATTGTCATTCTGTTGCATTCTTTACTGTGTTTTCCTACTCAGCTTCATGTCTCCCTCTGAATTGCTAAAAATGGAAGACTATCAGCTGGCATGTTTTGAATGGCAACTCTTACCTTTTTTTTTTTTTTGATCCCATAAGCGCTTTTTTTATAAACATCATCCTCAAATTCACCTGTAACACTTGTAAGTAATAGGAAAACCTGTTTTCTGTACAAAATTTCAGTTCTGTCTTTAGAAACAGGCATTTTTCCAAATACCCTGAGAACATTTTTCAGAAGTCAGTTTCAAAATGTAACCATATGCATGCCTTCACCTAGTCATATTTTCTTAGTGAACTGACAAAAATAAGTTTTCACTAATGTCACCCTGCTAAGTCAGAGTAGCTGCCAAGCAGTGAGCTGGATGGACCATATTCAGCCTCCAGAATTAATTACAGGGCTGATTATTAGCAAGATTGAGTCTCTCCAGTCTTCAGTGACGGTAGGCAATGAAGGACAGGCAGAGGAAAAGTGACATGGTTCATTTGCAGGTACTCTGTTCATGTACTGGCACATGTAGCCTGCGAGAATAAATAAGACATTGACAGAGAGACACTCAGCAGAGCTGCCAACTTGTCATTTTTACAATTTTTTCTTATCATAATTTCATTTGGTTAACATGCTAAATATAAAACGCAGAAGCTTCAGTCGCACTCAGTGAAGAAGAGGTCATATGTTAAAACACTGAAGCTTAGATGTCAGCACTACTTAAAAAGGCAAAACAAACCCAACACCTATGTTTCACCAGCACTACAGGTTTATATATATTTATCTATTTATCTATACTATATATTTTTTTATATATTTGTATGTGTAAGTAACACAAGGAGATTTCCACTTCTGCTGTAGTCTCTCTTCACCTGTCTCTGATTTTCACCACCTTTTCCCCTTTATTTTGCCAGGGCTGCCTACAGGACTGAATTATCCAATGGCATGCATTATCTGAGGATTTATTTTCAAATGCAGGCACTTTTAAGGGTTGCTAATAATCTGATGTATTCATAAGCATAAAAATATGGAAAGCTTTCTGCTATTATAAATGAGTCAGTTTTAATTGGTTTTCAAAGTGCAAATGACAAAAAATTATATTTTTGCAATCCCTGGTAATGCTTTTTCTGGTTTCATATAGGAAAACTTTATTAATAGCATCCTAAAGATATGAGATATATGACACATCCTTGGCTAAAAATATTTTTATTCCATACTGAATTCTTTACCATCTTGGTTCGCACATTCGTCTTGATGTAGTAGCAAATTTCATCCAAAATATGCATATTTGGATGTAACAGTGATAAAATTATAAGATGTTTTAATTTTAATTTTTTCATAGAAAAGACATTCTGTTTACAGGCAGTATCTAGATGTTCAAAACACTATATTTAGTGAAGAAAAAAAAACAGTGCTTTTTAATAAATAATATAATGGTGACCATTTGGAGAGCTAGGGCTGTTTTGTTGGACAATGTTTCTATTCTTCAGTTTACAGGACAGAAATCTGTGTTTCCTAACATAATAATCTTTTTGAAGGGTTTTTTACAATATTTTTTTTTAGTGATTTAAATTCTATATATTGAATACAGACCATAGGAAAAGGGCCACCTAGCCATATATACCTTCCAATTGCTGACGTCAGGGCCAGAGGAAATAGTAACCCAGTCTCTATCTATTGCTTTTTTCATTGCCTGAAGGAAGCACACATATACTAATCATAGAATCATAGAATCATAGAATGGTTTGGGTTGGAAGGGACCTCAAAGATCATCTAGTTCCAACCCCCCTGCCATGGGCAGGGACACCTCCCACTAGAGCAGGTTGCTCAAAGCCCCATCCAGCCTGGCCTTGAACACTTCCAGGGATGGGGCATCCACAGCTTCCCTGGGCAACCTGTTCCAGTGTCTCACCACCCTTATAGTAAAAAATTTCTTCCTGAGATCTAATCTGAATCTTTTTACTTCCAATTTAAAACCGTTTCCCCTTGTCCTATCATTACACCTCCTGGCAAAGAGTCCCTCCCCAGCTCTTCTACAGGCCCCCTTCAGGTACTGAAAGGCCGCTAGAAGGTCTCCCCGGAGCCTTCTCTTCTCCAGGCTGAACAATCCCAGCTCCCTCAGCCTGTCTTCATAGGAGAGGTGCTCCATCCCTCTGATCATCTTCATGGCCCTCCACTGCACCTGTTCCAGCCTCTAAGAAAGACTTTTATTATAAAAGCATTCCTTGAAATTGTCTCTCTGATTGCACTAAGCACATTTTCTCTACAGATACTGAAAGAAACTTGGACTAGACAGCTATAGCAGAGGTCCAGCCAGCCTAAAGTAGTTCAACAGCTCTTTTAATAAGGCTGTAGCTGAAGAATGTGAAAACTGTTTCCAGTGCCAGCAGGTCTCTCCTTACAATCTCATTAACTCTACAATTAGAAAATAAGTAATTTCATTAAGAATCTGTTTGAGCTCTGTGACCCTTTCAGAAAGCAGCGTGTAGATTTCTGTTACTAGTGCTAGATAATCCTTTGTCCAATATGAAGCACAAATTGCTGGTAGATTTCAATCTTATCACTCTTTTAAGTCAGAGCTATTACTGGCTCACAGCTCAGTAGAAAGATGACTGCGGGTTCATGTCGCCTCACTATGTATGGATTAAACAGCATTTAGCTGGTGGTGTTTCAAAATGAGAGGTTTGGTCCCAGACTGTGCCTCTCCAGATTTCTCTTTTCGCTCCAAGCCACCCATTTAACCTCCTACAGCTGTATCGCTGCATGGACCTCTCTGAGTGAAATGACAAACCGTTGGCTAGCATTTCTCCATCAGTGCAGGCACAGGAGTGAGGATAAAGAACAGCATGTTCTTCTGTTTCCTTATTTTGATCTTTTCAGAACTTCATCTATTTCATCAGGACCTGTCAAAAGCCGTAACAGGAACCTCGTTAGCGGAGGGCAGTACCCCTGACACTGCTCGGGCGATGCTGCTGTGCGGGCGCAGATGCCAGCAGAGGTGGGTGAGGGTGTGCGCAGCTCTCGGCCAGGACAGAGGCACCTGCTGCCTCTGCGCTCCCAGCACGACAGGGAGCAGCGCTGTACTCGGCACTGGTGAGGCCTCACCTCGAGTACTGTGTCCAGTTTTGGGCCCCCTACCATAAAAAAGACATAGAGGTGCTGGAGCGGGTCCAGAGAAGGGCGACAAAGATGGTGAGGGGTCTGGAGAGTAAGTCTTATGAGGAGAGGCTGAGGGAGCTGGGGTTATTCAGCCTGGAGAAGAGGAGGCTGAGGGGAGACCTTATTGCTCTCTACAACTACCTGAAAGGAGGGTGCAGAGAGATGGGGGTCGGTCTCTTTTCTCAAGTCACAGGCGACAGGACAAGAGGAAATGGCCTCAAGCTGTGCCAGGGTGGGCTGGATATTAGGAAAAATTTTTTCACTGAAAGGGTTCTCAGACATTGGAATGGGCTGCCCGGGGAGGTGGTTGAGGCACCATCCCTGGAGGGGTTCAAAAGACGGGTTGATGAAGTGCTGGGAGGGATGGTTTAGTGATGATGCTCCTTGTTTGTTGTGTGGGGGTCTATTTTTGTCAGTTAGGTTGACGGTTGGACAAGATGATCTTTAAGGTCCCTTCCAACCTAGAAGATTCTGTGATTCTGTGAACTGTTAGTGGTGTACAGCTCATCTTCCTCACTGCTAGCCTGGGGTCAAAACTGCAGTCTAGCTCCAAATGACTGCCTGATGGGTTGTACACTCTAAAATGACATGATCCTGCTCTTCTTCAGCTGTGGCATATTTCTGTCTGAAGACCAGCTGCAGTCTCGCTGCTGTGTGTTTGTAGACACCCACTACTTGACATGGTGTTTACAGAGCATGACAACTAATGAAAAAGGGTTTAATTAAATCTTTTTTTTTTTTTACTTTTTTTTGTCGGTTCTGTCTTTAAAGGAAATGTTCTAAAAATGGAGCAATGTAGGGCATCCGTCTGGGCAACCAGAGCCACTATACAAGAGCCTGGTGATGCAGACAAGACTGCTTTTCTTTGCCCTGAAGACCGAAGTGCGGCAGAAACACAACCTGGGAAAATAGGAAACTATCTGAGATATGCTGTAGATAGAAGCATGATTTAACAGTGACACCAGAAGATACTCAGAGGCAGGGGAATCTTCATCAAGTTCTATTTGGCCGCGAGGTATATTATCACAACTGAGCATCTTTAGGGGGGAGGGAAAAAAATCCCAAAAGATGGTCATTATCACTTAAAGACATTTTTCAGATCTCATATATCAAGCCGGCAATTATCATTCATTAATCCTGTAACCTTTCAAAACAGCATTTCAAAATACCTGGTGAGTACTCTGGAGCTTGTTGGCTTTTCTTTCTACACCAAGCCATCACTGATGCAAGTAGCAAAGCCTGGAATGCCTGGTAAGGAGCAGAGTAGAACTTCGTCGTGGTCTGTAGGCAGTCAGAAGGAAAACTGGTTTCCTGCATGTTCCCTTGAGGGATATTAAGGGAAAATTTAATGAAATAAATTACTTCATTTGTATATTAACTGTCTTAAGACGAAGTAACAAAGAAAGCAATGCATGACCTGTAACACTAACAAAAGAGGACAGAATCATCCTTCAGCTCCTCAAAGGTTGTAGATTTTTTATGAAATGTCTTTTAAATGATGGATTAGGGCTCAGAGTTTTCATAAGCAGCTAAAACAGCTAGATACCCCCTTCCTGTTAACAATAAGGAAACTGGGCACACAGTGTTGCTTGGCAGTTTTGCAACATGCACATCTAGAAATTACAAATGAAAGAATGTCTAGAAAGTGTTCCAGCTCATTTTTGCATTGAAGGGAAGAATTTATACATAATTTTTATCCCTTCTTATATACTGTCCAGTATTTATGAAGGTTTTATTTAGCCTATTTTGACTGTTCCTAATGATTTATCACTTTTGACTTCTGTAATTATTCTGAACTAATTTTTTTTACTTTATATATTTTTGACTAAAGATTAATCTTGCTTTTCTGAATTGCATTTTGCATGCTTATGTTTTTAATTCCTGACAAACAGACTATTTGTACCCCTCTGATTCTAACACCGTATATATATTAATCAATGGGTAGGATGTTGTTAGTTTCAAACCTTCTTCCCCATGCAATTTCTATACCTACTCATTTTTATTCATTTTCTTAATACATCAGTTTCTACAAGCTTTTCCTTCTCTAAAGAAATGCAGGATTAATTGATGTGATTTACAAGCTGTAGTACATAAAAATGCAAGCCCGCTATCACCATTACAAATTGCACACAAAAGTTGAAACCTTGGTCCAGTTAAGTCATGGATGTTTTTTACTCACTTAGAATGGGTTATTTTAAATTATTGACAATGAGCAGCCTAAGGTGTATAAATATTTGTTATTTTTCAAAAAGAACCTACTCTTTTACTTTTAAGAACTTAGGTTTCCTCTAAAACATTTTGCTGGGCATTTGAAAAAAAAAGAACTGTCAAATCCTAATATCAAATATTAGGACTCAGAACAGAGGGAGAAATATATCCCTTAACAAGCCTCAACACTACTCAGTTCCAAAATGTTTCTGGTTTATATTTTATTCAGATCAAGTCAGAGATGATTTAAGCAATATTTTGCAAATAATTTTTAAAATGTTTTTCAGATCTAAGGCCTTATATGATAAGCGTTCATGCTGAAATTGTTTGACAATTACCAGCTTCAAAAAAATGGAGCTTAACAGGGTGACACTGAGATAACCTCAACTATTCTGCTGCTTCTAAGATAAAATGATATATTACAGTACAATATACAGTTACATTTAAAATTCTTTCTGAGCAAACGAGCAGTAATTCACTACTAAAGAAATTCCACTGACTTCATAAGCTGTGAAGCCGTGAGTGCTCTGTGAAAGAATGCCACCAGAAATCCAAGAAGATCCTGTTACTTAAATATTTCATCACAAGTTATTTGTTATTGATGTGACAGTTTTCATAGTTGGCACAGCAAGCTACCTCATCCAGCAGCACTAAAATGTCCTTTTCTAGAGGAGACCCTGTCCTTGTGTGTGAAGGATATTTCAATAAAACATGCAGGCACGAGGGTGCACTCACACATAATCACACGCACTTTTTAGTAGCAACACTCTGCTTATCCTCCAGTCTTGAGTCTGGCTTTGCATTAAACTGTCTATCTCTAGTTTTCAGTTTTTTAAGGAATGACATTCATAGTTCCCATTGCTTTAAGTTGGTTGGGAGGAGTCAAATAGAGCTGTCAGCTGAGACATGTGTCTGACAGGGAGGAAGTACAGGAAGGGATGCAGGAGCCAGTCGCCATGTGCTGGTCTCAGGCAGAGTCCTGCACGTTAAGGAAGCCTAGGGGCTCAGCTTCATATTTGGACAATTTAGGAAGTAGCTGCATCTCCTGAGCTCTCAACAGCATTACACAATTATCTTGGTATTTGAGGGAGTAGCGAGACTTCCTCTTTAGATGAAGCATCCCACACTGGACAAAGCTGTAAATAGATTACTAGGTTTAGATAGGACGTTAACTCAGTTGTTGATCAGGTGTGATAAATCCTGTCTTTATATCTTTCCATGACACAAATAAAGCTAGGTTTTTTCTCTCTGTTTTACTCTTTGTTTAATCTGAGATGTTAACATTGCAAATTTTTGACTTTGAAATATTCTAAACAGTTTTGAAGTTTCAGGCTGCAATTGTAAAATAGAGTTGTCTAAAGACGATGCTCCTTCTTTTGATAACGGATGAGTCAGAGAAACACATAGACATGGGCTTATTGCCTGCAAACTTATATTAATAGAACTTCCTTGTTTGAGAAAATTGTTCATAACTTCAAAAAGGGATACTGGCCCAGTTGAAGTAAACACTCTTAAGTGCCCGGATATGACTAGTTTTGGAAAGAAAAGGTATTGATATTAGAGATAGTTCAGCTCAGCAGTGTACCAGAGCAGCTGCAAAGAACAGTGCAGCATTTCAGGAGACTGAAGTGCACTTTAGTGCTTATTCCTGGCAAATGGCATGGAAATATTTCTTGCAAAAATGTGGAAAGGTACAATAAGATACTCTGGATTGCCAGATATATGATCTTTATGGACTATATCTTTTAATTTGGCTGTAACAATATGACAATGAAAGCAAATCAAAATACCCTCTTAACGATTTATGAGCTATCTAATCAGATAACTAAATCACATAGAAAATGCCTACACTTAATTGCTACTTTATTTGCATACAGAGGAGCAGGTCACATTTTTAAAGGTCTGACTCTTGGCTGGGGTAAGCACCTTCAATGAAGGCATAAAATACAGCACTTTCATAGATTTATATTTTACCAAAGCACTGAGGTAGGTTTATAATTTTGTGGAGGGGTTTATCCCTATGGATCACTGAAATCAATGGAACTATGACTCAAAACATTGGAAGGGCTGTGGTGTCCTGGCCTGGCCATTAAACCTAAGAAACAGGAAAATGAAATAAATATATGGTCAATCATACTCAGAATTATACACTTCCTTATACTATTGGTTGTATAAAAAAAAATAACATCCTTGTATTTCTGCTTCCTTTTTCTATTTTTTTTAATATAAATTAATAATCTATGGCATTCCATGTGATTGTAAAATCTCTGTGGGAAATCCTAAACATATGGGAAGGTCCTACATAGAAAATCCTAATGACTATATTTAACTACATTTATATAACTGACACAGGAAAATGTTCCTGGTGATTTTCAAATTAAACTTTCCGAGCCAAAGAAAAGGGGACATAGAAAAAGTGATAGTAAGGAAACTGGTTATATGCCTTTCAATGAAGACTTATTACCAGTCCTTAACTACGTATTAAAGTGATAATTCCCATAAACATGTAGTGAAAAGACAATAAAACATAGGAACAAGAAGAGCTGGGAATACAGAGAAAGTTATCTTCATTTGTTACCTTACAGATTATGTAACTCATTTGTTATGTCAAAACGCTGCATGTCCAACATACATACATCAATGCACCATGAAATTTCGGACTCTTTCCCTTTATGATTAACAACATAAAATAGATTATTTTTTCTTTTACATAGAAATGTCTGTAATTGAAAGTCAAACTCCAGGGGACAAATGTTACAAAGATGTTTGGCTCAGAGTTCATTAAGTTTTATATAATGCAAACCCATTTTATAAACAACTGCTGAGTCACAAAAAATTATGTAAATTATATACAGAACAAATTTGAAAGATCAAACAGCCCATCTCTTGGCTGTTACAGGATTGTTCTTTACACTCCCCAGTACAGTCCACTTCGTTATCATCAAAAAGAACAGTTAATGTAGTCTGAATTCCCCCTACTACAGATTTTGCATTTAAGTGGATCTAACTGTCATGCCTAAATATTTTGCTATTTTAGGTCAGCTCCAAAGTGACTAGTGTCTTCCTCCTTGCTTCTCCCAATTTAATGTAGCTTAAAGGGGCATCTTCAGGGGATAACACATACCCTTTCTGAGGATCCTGACATTTGACAGCAACTGTCTGCACCAAAAATACTCTACAGGATCTGCTACACTGAAATCAATCAATGCTGTTAATTCAGTCATATTTCATGCCCTTAAATATGCCTTGTGAGAAAACAAAACATGAATAAACATCTAAGACCATTTACAGATTGAAATAAACCTGCTTCTCAATGTAAACTTTATTTTTCTCCCCCCACCCCGGGGTTTTAACAACTCTGAACCCTCTGATAAACTGGATTCGCACCTTTTCTTCTGCAGGTTTTTCTCCGTTTTTTCCTGGGTGCAAGACTCTCATTCATCCATCGAGAGGACTGGCTTATTTATTTTTAAATATTCCTGCTATCAATGCCAGCAGATGTGGACAACGGGGAAAAAATCGATGCTAACTTCTTCTTTCTTTCTTTCTATCTCAGGCTCTTGGTTATTTGCATACATTGTCATGTAGTTGGGTTACAACAATGACTGTCCTAAATGGCACATTGCAGCAGATTTGCATGAATAACAATGACAAGCACTGAAGGCTCACAAATGGCTTTGTTTGCTAATTTGTAATGTGGCAGTCAGATATAATGGAATCTGACCTTTGAGGGTAAGAGGAATTGCCCATATGCTGTTCCCAGATCCAGAAACAAAAGCTCTACACATGAAGTGAAACTATTGTTAAACCGCTGTCACATGGAGAACACTTGATCCTTTATTTCTTTGTTTATTCTGTAGGCCATTTTCTCAAAACTTGGTTACATTGGTGCAAATTGCAACCCAGATCTGCTCTAACTTAGAAGCTCTGTCTTAGCTGAGATTAAAAAAAAAAAAAAAAAAAAAGACCAAATTGTTATAGGAAATTCTAATTATTTTTTTAGCAGCTAAAAGTAGTCAAGAATGCAAAATGTCATTTATCCAAGATAAAACCAAAATTAAAGCATTACAAAAGGTATTAATGTTTTGTTTGTTTTCTTCAAGGAATATTATTAAGTACTGTTTCACTGGATGAGTATACTTTTATTGGTATAACTTAATTACTGCAGTAAGGATAAGATTGCCCTTCAAAAGAAGTAACAAATGCATTAACAATGTAGCTGCATAGGACTGTCCAGTTTCTACAGTCAGGCTTTGTGAAAATAGTTCTATATTTGAATTGATATTAATTGAAACCCTGAAACCCAAATCATAGGCAACTTGTTGCAGTTTACAGAATTGTGGATTTGGATATCAGAGGACATTATGGTCAGTGAAGTCACTATAATTACCAAACTGTATCAATACTGAGGAAAAGGCAAATTGAAAGTTTTACAAAGCTAACTTTAAGCTAGTTAATGGCAGCAGAAGATGATGCTAACTCACCACTGGAATTTAACCGAGAGATGACATGTAGTTTCATTTTGCAAGCTCAGCATCACCAATCCTATATGACATTAGGTGATAAGGCTTTTTTTTTTTTTTTAGTATGGAAGAACAGCAAACATTTCTGCTATTTCTTAAATCTAGTGAAAGTTTTTTGATATCCAGAGAAATTTAGTAAGTTCTTTAGTTTAGTTAGTTCAGTTTAGTAAGGCTGGATGGCCAGACAATAGGTGTCTTCAGTAGAACAATTTTCTCTGGCAATTTGAAGAAGCCATGAGAAGTCTTGTTAAGAAAAAAAAAAGCTATGAAATGGCCTGCTGATGAGAAGAGAATGCAGATGGTCTGTGGGTAACTGGAGATTACCAACTCAGCCAAGATTTCTTTCCCATTTTGTGCTGCCACAGGTTTGACACTCATGCCTATTGCTGATGTTCCTCCCGACTTTCCTTTTTACAATGAAGTGCTTTCTCCAGATGCTGCTCCTCACAATGTTTAATGCAAAATGATCATCTCTGAAATGCAAACCTCTGCTCTGTGGTGATCATTGCCATGCAATGAGAAAATACTTCCACAAGCTCCCCAGAGACTGAACAAAGCAACTAGCTCTATAACCCAGTGTCATCTAACAGAAAGTGATCTCTGCCAGAAAGCAGGTGGAGGAGGTTGGTTTCTCTTCTTTTTATTACTATCTTGACAGCAGGTGGAAGAGAGGATATTTATGATTATAACTACAAATATGATCTTGAATCTGGTGAGATTACAACACACCTTATTCTTAATATTAACACTTTAGCAATTAAATCAGCATCCTTTTCAAATGGATAGCAAAACTGCACAATTTTGCAAAAAGTTTTCTGGCTACAAAATTTTGCAAGAATCAGCTTTCTTTTACTATACATTTCTTCAAGATGGATGATATAAATTAACTGGGAACATAAAGCAGGTTTCCTGTAAGCTTTAAGAACTGCTCCCCACCAAAAGCCCCCAACCACTTAGTTTCTTTGTCTGCATAAAACCTAACTGCAACTCTTGAAAGAATCTGTCGTGAGGAAAGCAGATTTAGCTGTTTAGAGACAAAAGAGCTGAGTAGCTTGTATCTATATTTGATTCTGTGCTTCTAGACAGTTAAAAAAAAATCCAAACCTGATGCTTACACTGTTAAACTTTTCCCACAGTTTTACAAGAACTGACAGGGTCACAGCCCGAGGTAGTATGGTTGCCAGATGTCACACCATTAGTTACAATCTTAGACAGAATAGGTGTAAGAAGGGAGAAGCAAGACTTAAAATAACTCTTCATGTAATGTTTCTCCTGCCAATGCTCTTCTAACAATGTAAGAACTATTTCTTATTTCATGGTATGAGGTGGATCTCAATATTTTAATAGAAGCTAAATGTCTAATTCAAATTATAATTAAGTGGAAATAGCTGTAGCTATTTATCCTTTACAAACCGTGTTTTTAATTATCAAGCTTTTCATAGGAAAAAAGCCCTTGAACACATCAGATCCTACCAGTGACCTATGATTTCTTTGAACTGAACATTTGTGCAATCACTTTCAGATATATTTGCCATCCATTTCACTTTAATATATTGCGTTCAATAGAAAGCATAGTCTTTTTTCAAGCAGAGGCAATATTTTTTCAAAACACCTCTCTTAGCTTTGAAAGTCACTTTCTCACACTGGGATGCACATAAATAAATCATTGCCTCACTTCATTGGCTTTTGATGCAAGTTTTCTACAGGTCATTCTTCACTGAATGAAAGCTATATATCTTTAGTAGCAAGCTTGGTAATGTCAAGCTGATGGTGGTTGGTTGTTCTGAAACTTCCAGAGAAAAACTGGAAAATTGCAAGTAATTTCTGCACTTCTGCTTTTGTTCAGCCTGTCCCTCCAGGACTGTGAATTCTTAGTGCTCAAATAAGGTTTACTACAGTTAACTATTGTACCTGATGAAAGTTTTCTATAAGTTATACTCTTAGAAAAAAAAAAAAAAGTATTCTTATTTAAAAAAAAATTAGTGATGCAGAAAGAAGTAAGTAACTTGTCCAAAGAATGAGTATATGGGGAAATATACATATATATATATATATATATATCTACCTGTATTCTTTTTGAAAAAAAATGCTGTTCTGTATAGCATGCACGCTTGGTCATTGTATGCACCTGCATAGATACGTAAAGGGATAAGATAAAAACCCATTTAGCAGTATCCTGCCATATAGTCACTATTTCCCTTTGTTTTGCAGCAGAATTGTAGAGCCCAAGGTCTGACCCGTTGGACAACGTGGCTAGTGCTGTTATGCCAGTGGACTCAGGAGACTATACACTGCCTGGTATGGATCCGGTGCAGTGGGGAATGCTAGACTGGAAAGCAAATCTGTAAATCATTGCACCCGATCATCAAAACCACATCTGACCATAGATGTTTAATCCAGGAAGGTCTATAAAAAAATATCCGTTCCTCTTCCAACATGCTCTCCAAATCATACTTAACCAGGCAAATGAGACACTTCCAGTACTGGGAACAATAAAAGTTGTGCTATTATTGAACAGTAAATTTGAACTTTGGAATAAGGAAATGAGCAAGACTGACTTCATAACATTTAAAACAATTAAATATTATTGTGCTTTGATGTGTTTAAGTCTAGTCAACTATACATCACAGTATCATTCACCCTACATAGAGCAAGATCATTAAAAATTCAAGTCAAATTATTATAGCAATTATTGCATGGCAGAAAAAAAAAAAAAAGAAAAGAAAGAAAAAGAAAGGAGAAAAGCCTTGTAAATAGACTGACTAATGTAATATGTTCAGTGTCATGGAGAAGGACACAGCTCACATACGAGACCCTAGCAGACCACTGCATGTAACTAAATAGTTGTTCTATGCCTGTTTTCATATGGTGTTCATTAGAAAAACAAAAGAAGTGCCTCCAGCAATTTTTCCTTAGAAGCAGACAATGCAGCTTTTGTCTTTTGAATCTACATAAGAGAGTCACAGACTGAAGAAACATCTAAATTTCCCCTGTGAATTAATGCTATCTAAAAATAACAAGAATGAAATATGCTTTGATTATTAGATGAATGCTAAAGTTAAGTAATGCTCTATGAGATTTTATTCTTAGAGAAAATGACCCTTTTCAGATGCATTGCCTATTTGCTTAGGGCAATCTTGCTAAGAAGTGTAAATTATCATATACAACTTAAACTTTGATATGGAGGGGGTCCTTAGAGGGCTGGTGAGAAGAACTTGCATATAAATGTCACAATATGGTACAGAGGAACCTAGTGACTTACAGGGTAATGATAGGTAAAGCAATACAAATTACTACAGAGAAATAAAGTCACCGTAGTGATTATCTTACACGCCAGTAACCTGAAAGTTTGCACAGCAAGGCTTACATTCACTTTCTGTTCCACCAGTGACTGATTAGTAAATGATTGGCTAGAAACAGTATCTCCACTAGTATCAATTTGTGTAATTTCACTAAAATGAATTGATTTTCATCAAAGATCAGCCACTTAGCATACCTCCACAAGCAGACTGGAAAATCTGAAATCACTGAGCATTCCCGGAAGAGTCCTCCCTTGGCATAATGTGAGTAGTTAAGGTTATTTTGATGTTTGTGAATGAGGTTCCTTCTAGAATACTTCATAGGGTTTTTCCTATAAATGCTTTAGAGCTTTTCCCTGCTAGAGAAGATAAATTAAGGCACCAGAACAGCAGTAGTCAGCTGAAAAAATACTCTGAAAAGCTGTGTCTGTTGCTGAAGTGCTGCTGAACCTTGATCAAAGCACAGCTCCCTCCACTCATACTTTAGTTATCTTGTCTATTCGCATTGTAATATCTGTAAATCAGGGATTTCAATGCCCAAGAGGGTGAGATCTTCAACTCAGAGCTTCTGGGAGTCAACTCCTTACTAGGAATGACAGAGCACAGGTATGAGGACAGAAAAGCTCAGAACTGATGGAGTCATAGTTTGAGTCACCCCATACTGGTGTGAAATACCTGTGACTCATTTATT